TTATTATTATTATTATTATTATTATTATTATTATTATTATTATTATTATTACAACTACTATTTTAAAGCTAACCAACAGGCTGGAGACCTGGCTCGGCAGTTAAGAACATTGGATGCTCTTGCAGAGGACCAGGGTTCAATTGTCAGCACACATATGGCAACTCAGCCAATTGTAATTCCAGTTATAGGAGAGCAACAGCCTTCTTCTGACCTCTGCAGGAATGCATGCACATGGGGCACAGACACACATGCAGGCAAATCCCCCATAACACATTAAATAACTAAATGTTTAGAGATGAACAAATATTCAAGAACACATACATGTCCAGTGATTTGAAAGTTTTAAGAGCAAGTTAATGGACAGCATTCACGGACAGACACAACGGAAACAAATAAAAATCTTAAGTTCAAGTACTGGGTTCAAAAAGACACCTCAAATACACATCATGACACACAACATACAAAATATTGCTTATTTTAGTGTTTTAAATTTTAAAACTTGGGTGCTGGAGAGATGGCTCAGAGGTTAAGAGCACTTACTGCTCTTCCAAAGGTCCTAAGTTCAATTCCCAGCAACCACATGGTAGCTCACAACCATCTCTAATGAGATCTGGTATCCTATTCTGTCGTGCAGGTGTGTACATGCAGGTAAAACTCTGTATTCGTAATAAACAAACAAACAAACCTTTAACAAAATTTAATGTGATGTGAACAGTCCATGGAATGTTTGAGTTAAGGTGCAGATACATACCTACCATTTATTACTCCCATTTAATCCTCAAAGACAGTGGGCTAGAAGGAAGAGCTCAGTTCTAACAGAAAGAAAATGCGGTTCACTCCAACCCATCAAACAGCACAGGAAAACAAGAGCTGGATGCTGAAGCTACTTCACCCCTCCTCGTAGCCTCTTCCTCCGTAGAAGCCAGCCACTTAATGCTGTTAAAGAACTGCCCTTACAACTGGCTAGATTTTTTTTTCTTTGTTCTGGTTTTCTTTTTAAGAGGAAGAAAACTAAAAGTGGATCAGGAAGGGGAATATATATGACTAGAATATATTGTATAATTTTGCTGTGGTTGCTGTTAACTTGGGGGAGAAGACTGACATACCCAGTAATGACCATATCTACTAAAACTCCATCCTACCTTCTGGGCAATAGTGGCACACACCTTTAAATCCCAGCATTCAAGAGGCAGAAGCAAGCAGATCCCGGGAGGTTCCAGACTAGCCTGGTCTACTGAGTGAGTTCCAGGACAGCCAGGACTACCCAGAAAAACCCTGTCTCAGAGGAAACAAACAAACAAACTTCATCCTACCACCTGGTGGGAGAGGGACAGAAAATAGAAAGTATGGAATATAGCAGGTCAGTGACAAGCTGAAGGCTGAACTCTTCATTTACGTTTAGGATGAAGGAGTTTTTTGGTTTGTTTTTTTTTTTTTGCATATTAGGTCTGTGTCCCTGGCTGGCCTGGAACTCATCATAGAGACCTGGCTGGCCTTGAATTTACAATTATCCACCTGAGCCCTCTCAAATGCTAGTGTTACAGCATGGGCTAAACCACAAAAAAAGGATTATGCATCCCGACTTACCCCAAAAACATCTCCTCTAAAAGGTAATGTTAGCATTCCACACTGTGGTATTCACCTGTAATAACAGGCTGAAGGAAGAGGACCACTGAGTTCAAGGGCAGCCTGAGATACATAGTAAGGGCCTATCATCTTCTCTAGCCTGGACAACAGAGTAAGAGGCTGTTATCTGTTAATCTCACTAGCAATCATGCATTTTTATCAATGTGGAGAAGTAATTAGCAGGCAAGAATATCTACATGAAGAACCAGATCTGTCAGCCACAAAAACTTACAGTTGTAAGAACCTGAGATCTGTAACATGTACAAACTGATCATTTTGAGAACTTACAAAAAGACCACAACCCTACCCACTAGCTCAGATACTACAAAATTGGCCATCTGTGCTTTCTGGCTTCATGCTCACAAAGTTATTGTATGGAGGCAGGCAACTGGCAAGATTAAATGATCCATATACAAAATAAGCTTTAAAACAGTTAAACTGTTTGGCTTTAAGGCAGCATCTTTTATAAGCTCCCGTCACTGGGGCTTGTGTTTTAGTAAAGCAGTATATAATCAAAGCAATTTTTCAAATTAAAATGAAGGACAGGGATAAATACAGCCCCCACAAGCTCGTGGTCACTAGACAGTGATATCGCTGCTCACACTGATTCACTCTAACGGGAACTTTACCAATATTTACTTTTCATGGAGAAAGGGAACATAACGTGTGTGGAAGTCAAAAAAGGGACAACTTGGGGACATCTCTCACCATGTGGGTCTCAGAGAACAAACTAAAGCTGTCAGGTTTGGCAGCAGGTACCATAACTATCTCAGGCAAACTTTTAGAACTAGAATTTTAGTCAAGTGTTATATTTAAAAAGACAAATATCTATTGTACCTACACTGTATTCCTGTATCCACTGTATTATGAGGGTTCTTGTTGACTGGCAGCTTGGTTGGCTGAGCCACCAGGGCCTGGGGCTTTACTCAGCACAACACACATCTGGTGCATCTGTGAACTCTCCCAGAGCTGGCAAGTGGGCAGCAAATAACAGGGCAAAGACCTGTAGGTGGCATCAGCACCCAACAGGCCAGAAGACCAGGGAGAATGAAAGCCAGGAGGGAACCTACAAGGGCAGGACAAGCTCAGGACCGATTCATTAGCAAAAACAATAGATAGGCCCCTAACTAATTTCGGTGTTTAGGTAATGGCTTAAACACATGAAGCCGTGAGCACTATCAGCAGGTGGCAGTAACACTGGGTAGTAGTACCCCAACCACTGTCCCTTTTCTCTATAAACAGGAAAAGGAACATAAAAAAAAAATTTGTAACAAAATTACAAATAGTCTAGTAGAAACAGCAGATAACAGAAGCACCAAGGAGACCGTGAGTAAAGGCAAGTGTGAAATTACTATGCTGGTGACCTAGGGAAGGCTAAAATTAGAAACAGGAAGTGAAACAAAAGCCAAAACAGTAAAATAGTAAAGCAGATAAGGCCTGTTCAGTTAATGTGCCCAGGATAGGATTCAAAGACCCAGATCTCAGGACTAGCTAAACTAGAACTGGCAGGATAATAAGTACACTCAGCTGAGTAAAGTACAGTTGCTTTCTGGACAATCAGGCACGTTCTTCTATTCTCATGTTGCTATTTTGATGTAATATTAAAGTTTAGGAGCAAGCTAGATAAAATGCCATTTGTCTGCACAAGCAGTCTGAGGAAAATAGCAAACATGGGTTGGGGCTGATTCCAATTTGTTTTTTAGACAAGGTTCACCTTGTAGCCCTGGCTGGCCTGCCTCTTCAGGGACTAAAGCATGCACCGCCAAGCCAGGCAGATTCCAGTTTTAACCAAAAACCTTTAAAATACTCACAGAGGCCGTTTCCCTCCTGCCCTCCCCTTTCAGGGTGTCTGACTGCATACTACAGACACACACACCCACGTGCTCAGCCCAGGTAGGTCCACTCAGCCATCATTGTAAGAATTGCATTAAGCACAAAGCAAGTTGAAGCCACAAAGCAGAAAGCAGAGCCTTCAGGCAATTCAAGTAAAAAAGAAAATTACAGCGATCAAGTCAAGGAAAGTACATCAATTACCTGATGGCCCAGTCAGTAAGGTTCGGAGGAGCTTATTTTTACCGATCTCTGAGTTCTCTGAGTCCGGTGTTCGGCAAATCTTTTGATCCTAAGGACAAGGGGGGGGGGGGGGAGTTATTGTCTTTTCTTCAAATTAAGCATTTGTATTAGTCCCATATAAATTGTCCCCATCTTCTAGCCCACTACCTGCACACAACCTCCTCTGGGAATCCAAGTAGATGCCTTTTTGCCATGTCAATACTTGAAAATTTTAGAAAAAAGTTAGGCACAGCATTCACTATGTGGTCTTCACAGAACAGCAGGGCTTACACTGCATGCCACCGCTCACTCTGATGGACATGCAGAAGGATGCACCTAACTTCAAATCTTTACTACACAGTCATTAAAGTGATACAAATGTAAGTTCAGCTCTAGACAAAGTGGCCCTGAAAACCTGAATGACACAAAGAAAGCAACAGCCTCGGCTTCCCAAAACAGCCTTTGAAAAGCCAGCTTCCTGAAGTGACCTTGGACCAGGTGAGGTGGTGCACACCTTTCATCACAGCGCTTGGGAGGCAGGACAGAGGCAGGCAGATCTCTGAGTTCTAGGCCAGTCTTGTCAGTACAGTCAGGGCTACACAGAGAAACCTTGTGTTGAAAAGCCAAAGGGGTGAAGAATACCCATGAAATAAGCAGTTGATGAGCACCAAATGCCTGTGCTGCAGGCAAAGATGAACAAAAGTGGGAGGTATTAGCACCACAAAACAAGTAACCCTGAAGCACTATGAGAAATTAAGACAAATTCAAAACTGTTTATCTCTGCCAAAAATAGCTAATGAAATCAGGCAATCTCTGCAAATATTACCTAGATTTATAATCCAAACGTGTGTTAATGCCTCACACTGCAAGAGACAAGCACAGGCACACGCATCTGCAATCCCAGAACAGGAAAGGCTACGGCAGAAGATGGCTAGTTCCAGGCCGGCCTGGGCTATACAACCGAATCCTCTCCCTAAAACAAAACAGGGTCGGGACATAGTTCAATGTGAGGGCTTGCCATCACCCACAAAGTAGTGGAATTTTAATTCAGAACATAGCTGTTCTGGCAAGAGATCACATCTAAAGATCTTCTAGGTCTGTGTGATCCGGCTGGAATACAGGAAACAGAGGCAAGCAGACCTGAGTTAAAGCTAGCCTGGTATAGAGCAAGTTTTAGGTAAAGAAACCCTTAGGTCCAGGCCTGGTAGTACACACCTTTAATCTCAAACAATGGAGGTAAAGTTAGTTTGTAAAAGAAAGTACCCATGTTTGAAAGTGATATCTAATTAACTGGTAGAAAAGGTGACAAATCAGCGAAGATTTGACAAAGTAGGATACACCCAACTCACAAGAGCAGAAAGAGGAAAGAGAAGTTACTTAAAGGGCAATGCAGAGTAAGGAGACAGTTTTTAGGAGGACACTAACACACAGGTTTCAGAGAGAGAGAGAACTCAGGTGAAGACCGAATGAACTAGAGAATGGGAAGGAGGCAGGAGATTATTAGAGCGGATGGCTGGAGTTACTTTGAGGCCAAACAGAGCAATTCAGGGCCTGAGAGAGAAGCCAGATTGAATAAGTCAGCTGGGAGTCCTGTTTGAACCAGAACAGCTGAGTTGAGTCAGCCAGCCCAGAGTTCAAAAAAAACAAGAAAGGGTGAGCTTATTAATCAGGAAGTCTCAGAGGCAGAAACTTCTAGGCCTAGGTTAGATTATATGGAGGCTAGAAGTTTCCAGAACTAGGCCTAGGTTAGCAGCAGAAGACAGTAAGCTTCTCAGACAACAACAGGCAAATAGAAGTTCCTTTTATACACAAAAACCTAGTTTCAATCCCAGGACCACCACCCACCAAAAAGATAAAGGGAATTAAAACACTTTAAAGAAAATTTTTTTTTAATTCCTGCGTGTGTGTGTGTGTGTGTGTGTGTGTGTGTGTGTGTGTGTGTCTGTCCTTGTACTCCATGAGAGAATGTGGAAATCAAGACAACTGTCTGTGTGTGTTTGTCCCTGTGCCCCATGACAGAAATGTAGGAGACAAAGGACAATTCTCAGAAATCTGCTCTCTCCTCTACCACGCATCCTGGGCCCCAGCTCAGCTCAGTCCTGGCAGCAAGCACCTTTACCCACTGAGCCATCTCCCCAACTCCAATAACACTTTATATAATAGTGACCATCTAAAAATTACATGGAAGACAGGACACATACATGAAATGCATAGAGGCTGCTGAAGGTTTTTTTAGCTCAGCACATCCATACCATCCATTCTGCTCAAACACAGAATACATGGAGTCTGGGAGGTGGGGGGACACATGGAGGAGGGCAGTAGGGGAGGATGGTGAGTTACAGAAGAGTACAGGCATGAAAATGCTACAGTGAATGGAACCCAGTACTGTGCATGCTGACCCAAACATAAAAAAAAAAAAAAAAAAAACTATTTTAAAAAATGTTGGGTGTGGTGCCACATGCCTTGTTTTTTAATTCCAACACGGCGACAGCCAGTTACACGGTGAGACACTGTCTCAAAAAAAGTAAAAAGTTGTGGGGACACACTATTCTACTTCTAATCGCAGAGAGACTAAAGAGACCACAATATCCTAGAGGCACAGCGGCCTCTGAACTGGCCTCTCCTGGCTGAGGTAAAGTCAGTCAGGGCCTGCTTACGGAAGGGAAACAGGCTTGTCAGCAAGCTGCTGGCTGGCAGCTGCTTGCTCTGCAGCTCCTTCTTCCTCCCTCTCCCCTGTCTTCCCTTCCCTCTGTCTCATCCACTCTCTCCTTCTCTGAAAAGCTGTGTAAGAGCCCTGGAGGATCACACAAAATAAATACAGGCAAAAAAGGGTGGGAGTGGGGGTGGGAGGGGAGCATTCTCCACCAGTAGAAGGCTTTCCACAGGAACTGCTACAGGGTCAAAAGTTTACAGTGGTTTCAATTTCACCTTTTAGCAGCCAATCAGCAAACAGAGACAGCGCTGACCCTCAGGCTGCAAGAGCATTAACTCGGGGCTCCCAGGACTGCTGCTGTCCTTCCTCTGCGGTCTCCTAAGGGGGAAAGGTAAAAAAGGCAGCGGACACCCTAAGTTTAGCTGACAATTTTATTTTAAACTGGTGTTTGAGAAGGAAAATTATTTGCTAATTGTCCTCTTTCTCCTTCACGTACAGGGTTTCTTTATCTTATAGCATCCAACAAACCAATCGCTAATGAGATGAAGACAAAGAATCAGGGTAGGTTAAGATTTTTCTCCATGAGGCTTGTTTCTACTAACAGCCTACAGATGATAGGAGCCGATCCCCGGTTAGTTCCCAGTAAATGCTTTAAAAAGAACCTTGATAACAAAGGCCATCAATTAAAGTGTTTAGGGCCCACTCCCTCCAGGCACTGATACAAACTGCAGAGTGCCATACTCTTCACAAGAGGAGTCTACAGAATACAGCTCCAGCTTCTAAGGGGCATTTGTTTCCCTGTATTCTTGGCTCCAACCCTCCAGGACCCAGTGCAGCCCTCTGTGTAACAAACTCAAAAGTAAAGCCTTCCGGCAATAGACAGAGCTGTCCTCCTGATTGCTTTTATATAAATTTCCTACAAATGCAAAAAAATCAATACACTAATCCATTCACTACTGTTCTCAGCATTCTGTATTAAGAGTGAGCAGGATCAAGATGGAAAGCAGAGCAGGCACAGCCATTCTCTCTCTGCCTCCCACCCTTCTTTTCTCCCCAGAGCAATGAGGCAGCAGGGCATTGAAGACTGAGAGCTTGAAGCTACCACGGCTATTTGGGGTTTATTGTTTCAATTTTGGTTTTTGGGTTTTTTATTGTTGTTGTTTTTTTGGGTTGTTTTTTTGTTTTTTGTTTTTTTGAAGGGATGGTTGTGGGAGGAGTTTAAGACAGTCTCTCTACAGCTTCAAATGGCCAAAAACTAGCAGTAATCCTCCTGTCCCAGCCTCAAAGGGCTGAGATTACAGGTGTGAGCAACCAATCCTTGAAGCACACACTCTCCTACCAGAGTGATCTACTAAATGATAAATCTATAGATAAGCCAATTTACAGACAGCAATGCTTTCCTCACTGATATACAATTGGTTGAATTCTAGCAGTTTTACAAGTTTAGATTTGAGACCCATACAGACACCACCAGTGGCTACTAAAGCGATGCCATACAGGATAATGGGTTTTATCCAGACCAGCGTATCAAATACCGGCTATTTCTGAACTGCAATGAGTAACCAATGCGCTAGAGCGCCTCACTTACTGCACACCGGCAACGGCCCAGAGCACCGCATATTGTCTTCATTACACAGAGGGTCTACAGAGCAACATCCTGCACATTTCAGGCCAGGAGTAAAGTCAATGACGACACTATAATTTCAGGTTGAGAAAAAAAATGATACAAGTAATTTTCTACTAGTAACTTCTAAACCCCCATGATATAAATTTATGAATACAAGTCTAATTTTAAAATACATCTAGTTTGTTCTCTTTAACATGGCTTACAGAAGCCTGCTGGCAGTGTGTGTGTGTGTGTGTGTGTGTGTGTGTGTGTGTGTGTGCGCGCGCGCGCGCACGCACGCGCGAATTTAATTTGAAGAGTCTTCTCTTTTTACAAGATGGCCTCATTTCAAAGGAAAATGGATGCAACCAAATTTTACATCAAGTCAGCATGTTAGCAAGATTCTTTTTTGTGTGTTCTGAATTTGATTAATACAAGCCAAGGTCACTTCCTGAACGATGCCTACCACTGCAGCTGCAGGCAAAGACTGCCATGAGGCTGAGAGAAGAAAGTGAGCAAAGGTATTTACTAATAATCAAATAGACTCCATTTCCACACAGTTATCTTGGCAAGAAAGGACTGGCAAGATCCTGGGACTCTGGAACATTATGATAAAAAATATTCTATTCCTTAATATTCAAACACAGAAATGTAAATCAATATTCACAGGGTTCATGTCAAAAATCATATCCAAAAGGCCCTTCCTTAACATGGAAAAAAAAAAAAAAAAACATTTTAACTGCTTGAAACAATACAAATAATGCCAAATACCAAAGTACACTGAACTAGCAATACAAGAGGACCTGAACCT